TGCAGGATTCAGTTCAATTGCTTTCGATCTGAAGATGTCCACAGTGAGCAATGGCTTCATTTACCGGGAATTACCCTTTGTACAAACCACTTCACTACTTAAAACAAACCACATGGATCATCATTAAGTGGGAAAAATTACCAATCTTCGAATATTGACAGTGGCATGGCCCACTTTAGAGGCTCTTTTCTCCCCCTTCTAATGTGGATTGTAAGCATTTGACTTATTTTTAAATTTAGGCTGATAAAAAGGTTCTGAGTGAATAGGGCTCGACGGATGAGAAGCTTTCTTAGAACTGAATTGGGAGACACTGATGGTGGTTTAAGAACAGAGAAAATTAAGTTAATATGCTACTGATCCTCTTTCAGGGCATTAAACTCAGTGTAAAACACATACACACACACACACACACACACACACAGCCTCTGGGGGGAATGTAACACGTAGTTTGCATCAGAAAACAAATCTGATGTTGCCTCACCATACCTTACTGTGAGATGGGTGCTATGAGGTTTGCCCTCTGTGACTTAGAATGGAAAAAAGCCATGTCTAGATTTCTGTGTCCTGTGTGTACATGCATGTGTGTGTGGTTGCTTTCTATTACTCTCTATCAGGAAAACAAAATAGGTTCTCTTCTGACCTAGCTTGTTGCAAACCCCCAAAGCAGAATTGTATTCAGAATTACTCCTCAAAGCAAAAAATGATTCAATGAGTACTTACTTTGGAACTTGGAAGATTCTGCACTGGGGATAGGTGAGTTCGAAGTTCAGCTTCAAGAAGGTTCACCATCAAAGAAGACATACCATGAAGCCACTGCAGTGTATCAAGAAAGAAGATTGAAGCAGGGACTTTCCCTGGACAGCAAGATTGAAGCCAGTTTTTCCAAGGACTACTTGTCCGTTCCATCTGAAAGTGGTTGATGACCATAAAATATATGCTCTAACTAGATGTGTGTGTGTATGTGTCTGTGTGTATGTATACACAGTTGTGTGTTCCTCTGTGAATACATCACTGGGTCTGATATCTAGATGCCAAAAGGACTCTTTAGCATTATCCCATCTTGCAGTTCTAAACTGTAATAGCATCTCAGATGTGGGAAAAAAAAGAGAGGAGGGGAAAAGAAAAGAAATCATAGCTGTAAGTAAACACTTATCTAGATAAATGTTACTGGGACATATAAATAAGTGACGCAGGATAAGTCAAATAATGTGAACATCAAAGTTGCCTCTTCATAGGCCTAAATAAATAAATTATTCATGGAAAAAGTGTTATTTTGTCACTTACACTAGGCTATTCAGAGCAGACTCTGAGGCTGAGGCACCTCAATTGATTTTTGTTTTTATGAGTTGTCTTACGGACAATTCCTGGAGAATTTAGGAGGAAATGTTGGAAGTTCAGGCTGAGACAAAGAAAGCATTTGATGAAGTCATTTTCCTTAGCTACTGGATAAGAAATAACCATATGAAACTTCATTCCAGAAAAAAAATATACTTCAGGGAAGACTCGATGGCCCCTGATCAGAGTTTTTGAATTTGGAAAACAGAATGATGAATGCTCCAAAATAAGATCATTGTGGGTTGATTACTGTCTTATATGATTGGTGATCTGAATGTCAAAAACTTCTGAGTTGTATTTATTCCTAAATGATTATAAAATAAAATTTTTCCGATGAAGGTGTTACTTATCATAAATGTCACCTGATTCATCCATTTGATCAATTTACTTTGAGATCAAAGATTAGCCTTCTGTTCACCAAAATTAGCTAGAGATCCAACAATAGCTACAGATTAAAGGCAGATAAAAAATATAGTAGTGACGTCTGGGTATAACATATGTAAATCATATCGATTAGTAGTATGTGGAGATTAGAGTGAACTATTTCACCCTCCTAATCAGCCGATTGTCTGGAATGCTAAATAAAATAAGTGACTTATGGCTTCTAAACAAACTATCAAGAGAGTCATGGCTAGGTGAGACGACCCCAGGTATATCACTCCCACCCTAGCGGTGAGCTTCCAGGAAGGGCTAGAAGACCTGATTCTGAATAAGACAGGCAAAAATAAATGCCTGCCTTTATCGTACTTCTGGCATTCAGTGAAACTCAGAGAAAATACACACGCACACACCATTCTGACATTATGTCATAGTATCACATTATAAACACTTTCACAGATAGCATTGCAAGTCCTTTCAAGGGAAGGGGAGATGCATTCCAAAGCACATTTCAAAATCCACCCTCCATCTATCTTCATATGGAACCACAACGCTGATTTAGTCACTTCTAAATATTTGTTGTGGCTGCCAATGTTTCCTTCAAGCCTCCCCTTTCCAGAGCAGTAATGTTTTCCTCGTGGGAGACACTGCCTGGAAGATACTGAGAACCTTTGTGTTTACCCTATCTGTTTGTTCTTCTCATGGCAAGGATAACCTCTCACTCAAAGTCATTATCTTCTTTCCTAAGTTGTGCCCAAATGAGTAAGCCAATTTAATAATCAAGAAGGCAGAAACATGGATGTATTTTTTTTAAAAAAACATCCACACCACCACACAAAGGAACAGAGAACACTGAGTATCTATAGCATTCTAATTGTTAGGTAAATGCTATTCAAATTGATTAATAAATAACATGAAAGAAATGAATGTAAAAGGCAAAAGATCAACTCCTATTAATAATTTGATAAATCCAACTGAGGCTTAGCATCTATTGAAATGCTCATCAGAATTCTCTTCTAGTGGAAATAACTGGTATAAAACGTACACATACACACACATTTACACACACACTCACAGCAAAGGCACAGAAATTGTAGAAGATAAAGCATATAATACGTTATCAATACTCTCTTGGGAAATGCTTCCTGGTGTGTTTTACTCAATAATCAATATAATAAAATAATATTTAATAGAACAAATTTGTTCCCAAGATTTTTTTAAGGCTGTTCTCAAAAAGAATTCCAACAGAAAATACACCTAAGAATTTTTTTCTGGAGGTAAGCAACTTGGTAGAAAAATCACCCAAATGTTCAAAACAGAATCCTGACATTTTATAAAAAAACATATATTCCCTTAACACAGGTTGAAATTGAAGGTCTTGGGGAAGGGGGCCACTCTCAACTCTTGCAAAGGAAGTTCTGTTCACACACTCATGTTAACAAATGGTACTCTTGAAGTGAGTCCATGGAAAAACAGATAAAATGAGTATCATCACTGTAAACTCTTCATAGAATAGGATGGAGATCCTGGGAGGGGAAAAGGATTTGCATCTGCATGACAAAACCCCTTCTAGCCCTTCAGTTCACATCCACAGCCCCTGACCAATGACAGAGAGCTGGCCTGTCACCCTACAAGGGCAGTAATGAGCTATTTCCAAGCCCAGGAACCAACTCAGGAAGCAACCCTTCCAATAAAGAAAGAATGACAGAGCAGAGAGGGTCCCAGGGAAACACCCTGAGAAAGAGAGCAAGGCTAGGAAAGACTGAAATGTGTACAATGAATGGAAAATAAAACAGAGACTCCTTCGGCAAGACCACTAAGGGGAAGTGAAAGTGGGGGGGACCCACAAAAAAACACCCTTACACATGCCAACAAAGACAACATCCTCAACAGCTCACCTTCATCACAGCATTGCCAGCGAGTTTGAAGGCAGACGGGGACTGACACACTCCAGAAATCCAAATGCTCCGATCCCATGCGGACCGAATATAGCACCACACGGACAAACTTAGGAAAACAAACACACATACACACACCACACACACACACACACACCACACCCCCCACACTTTTCCTTTCCACTCCCTATTCAATCAGCTGAATTAACACTGCAGGCACCCGAGTGCCTCCACACAAACTCTTAGCATCAAAGGAGTCTTAGATCACCATGGAATGCACTGACTCAAGGAAGATGGTAGCAAGAAAAGGCAGTTTTCCATTTCAAACTCCCGGGACCCAGGCTTGGGCATCAGGCGATTTTAAAGTATTCAGACAGGTGCAGACACAGCTCAGGGCCAGATGCCCGGGGCTTCACCGAGAACCGGAGGCTTCCACCCACCCTTCCCATCCCAACGTGGGAGCCCCCTCCCCAAAAACCTCCGTAAGGCACCGAAGCGCAGCCCGGGACGCACGGGGAGGCGTCTGGCCGAGCCCCCGGGAAAGCGGCCACCGAGGGCAGACGCGCGCCTTACCTGCTGTAAGTACATAAAAGTCAAGGCACACGAAAGCTGGGGACACATGCCCACGTTGGGAAGCGCCACGCAGGTGGCCCCCGTCAGAGGATGCTGCATCATGTCTCTCTGGCGCCCGCCGAGCCCGAGTGGGGACGCTCGCATGCAATCACGTTGCTTGCTGCCTGGGCGCTACAATTTTTTTTTTCTTTTTAATTTTGCTGATTATCTAAATCAACGACCGGTGGCTGTCTCTCTCTCTCTCTCTTCCCTCTCTCTCTCTGTCCCTCTCTCTCTCCCCCTCTCTCTTCTTCCCTCCCCCCCACCGCACCCCGCCGGTCCCTCCTCCCTGGCTCTCCCAGCCTGGGGCTGTGCTAGATCCTGGCGTTCCTCTGCCTCCAACTGAAACACTTGCGGGGACCTGGAAACTACTTGCTTCCCTTCGCGCAGTCGCCTGGCTTTTCGGGGTTGTTGGGCCTGGCTTTTTGACCCCCCACCCCCACCCCGCAAAGTGGAAGGGGCCCCCCACCCCACGCCCCTGTGAAGGTGACACGAGAACGGGCAGAGGGAACTTCCCTGAAAGGTTCAGGAGGTGCGGGGCTGCCCTCCCGAAGAGGCTGGAGGGGAGGGGGGCAAGGAGAAAAGGAGGAAGGGGTGGGAGGCAGGGGGGAGAGAAAATGAGGGGGGGAAGAGGGAAAGGGAGAGGGGTTTTGACTCACACCGAAGCTCACTCCGTTGGTCCTGATGCTGCTGTCTCCTCATTTGTCAAATGGGTCCAGGGGAAAGATTTTCTTTTTTTTTTTTTTTTTTTTTCCCAAAAAAAAAAAAAAGACTCACCAAAATTTAAACCGGGTCTGCTAAAACCCTCCGCGGGTGAACAGGCGAGCGAGCGCCCCGTGTGCCCGGCATCAGGCGAGCTGGACAATTGGCGCGATGGCCCAGCTGGGACCCACAGGGCTAGATGTTGGTAGCGGTGCAGTTTGCCCGATTCCTTGGCAAATAAACACAGAAAAGGGATTTCCCCTCGGCAGAGGGTGGAGTACTGAGACGGGAGGGGCTGGGGGCAGGAGGGAGCTGGGGCTGAGGGAGGGGAGGAGGTTTCTGCACCCCCCCCCACCCCCCACCCAGCAGCGCACACAGGCGCCGAGGCACCCCCGGGCGTTTGGGGCGCAGCTTTCGCTCTGTGCCTTGCCTTGGTTGGGCAGGCAGCCCCGGGCACAGGGAACCTGCCCCTGAGCTGCTCAATGAGAGCAACCGCCCGGCTGGCGTGGAAATCAAGCCTGTTGGACTAACGCGCCAGCTCGGGGCAACTGAGAGGGGGCTTCTCCCAGTCCAGAACACCCTCTCCTCTCAAATTATAAATGCACAGGGTAGGGAAGTCCGTGTCTGGTAAGAGATTACTCCGTCGGCTGCAGGGAGCAAATTACAATGGTTTATTTATTTATTTTTTTGTTCTTGCCTGGCCAGCCCTCCTTGGCCAAATTAACATTCTGCTCTTGCAAGCGGGTCTCCCTTCCCCTTTATTTTATGAAGTAATAATTATTCATTAGTAGATTTCGTTAGTCTTTATGCAATAAAATAGGATGTGATCTGCAAATCAAAAGAAAATATTAAGACTCTAACTCATCCTTGGTCCCCACAGGAAAAAAAAAAAGGCACATTCTTGCATTCTTGGCAGCAGTAAAATCGTGATCAGGAATAGTAGCCATATTTTTTAATATAGATTTTGACCTAGTGATTGGATTTTCTTTTTTGTTTTCAGACCAAGAGATCAGCTGTCTGAACAGCATCTTCTTGGGTTATTGGGCTTCCTGAAAGATACCTTACTGACAGCTTCTCACTGACCTGCAGAACTGAGCCGTACCTGAGATGGGATGGGGGCTCTCTGACAAAATAATATTTGGGGCAGAACCCTGGAACTGGCCACCAGGGACATCCCAAATGTCCCCTCCTCCTCCTAGTGGCTCACCCCAACAACCTCAGCCAAATGATGGCTCTGAACCCAACCATCAGCTCGCAAGGCACAACTCACTTTGCAGGCTAATCAAAATGCTTTCTCAAGAAAAGAAAACTAATTATCCCACAGCTCTATTTTTTGTTGTCTTTCTGTTTGGAATAACTGTACAGTCTTCCCTCTTCCTAACACTAGGCCCCAAACTGCTGTTTCTTTCTACTTTTCATCTTGGAAAACCAGTGCCTCCAACCACTCTGGGTCTCACAAATCCCATCAATTTAGCAGAGACACAGTAGCAAGCTTAACCCTTTAGCCTTAGGCAGAAGTTCACGGCAGGGGAGGGGGGGAATTGGGAGAATAGAGGCTGGTATTCTGTACTCTCTAGTATTCTGGTATTGGGAGGTGCTGGCAGTGGTGAGTTTGAAATACGTTTGCTGTATGTTTCATCGGAAGTCACATTCATCATACAAGCTCTGATTAACGAATACAAGAATTCCCTCTTTCCTTCTCTTACTTCCTACCTGCCTTTATTTATTTATTTTTGCAATTCACAAAACTAAAGAGAAAGTCACTCCACAGAACACAAATGGAATAAAAGGCCAACCATTCTGCCTTTCCAATCCCCACTCTCCCTTTCCCATTCTTTACTGTTGCCTCAAGCAATCTGCTGTACTGACGAGTTCGCACCGCTTTCCTTTATTTTTTTTTTTTCTCTTGCTGGCACTGGAAAAGCCTGTAAACACCCCAAGAAAAGAAGAGAATTTTTTTCCTTCAGCTAATTTTCATAAGAAACATGATAAATAATACATGGCACTTTAATAAGACTTTATCTGAATGGTTTAATGAAAAACAAATACATTATGTAAAGACCCAATAACTGCTCTGGGCTGCACTGAGCCAATTCAGATTTTCCAGTCCGTTTTCTCCCCAAAGTTGGAACCACTCTGTGGTGATTAGATCCCCACAGATCCATCTTGCAATAACGGGCTCAGACTTTCCCTCAAACTTAGGTCTTCACAGTCAGACACACTGAAGATCTGCAAATATAACAATGAGAACCAGACCTAAAACCACATCAAAATTATTTGGAGTCAGGCTCTGTTCTCTGGATAACTAAGCATGAACATTCCTCCACTCTGGTACATGCAAACACAACATACGGGGATAAGTCCCCTCCCCATAGACATTGCAGCCATATTAAGGAGCCCAGGGGAACACTTTCCCATTGATAACATCAGTGCTCCTTAATCAGGACTAGGACATCCAATGACCCCAAATCAAATAGTAACATCATATCCGCAGCCATTGCCCAACTGATGGCAAAACTTTGCCAACCTTTTAAGCAGCATCTGGGGATAGTGCATCCATCTCAACAGAGACTAAGGGCCCCATCAAGACCACTAGATCCAGCATGATTCTCCAACATCAATACATGGGAAAAGTAGAGAAAGAAAATATTCTTATCTCTCTTTAAAAAAAAAAAAAAAAAAAGGTCTGGGCACTTATCATCCAATGGGTTCATACTCATTCCAGGACCACCTGCCTGCATTTCAGCTACAAGGACCCTTCACGGAATGGTTATGCATACCCTATAGGAAGCTGAAAAGGTACAGGAAAATTGGCAATTAATAACGTCATCTTCAAATGAAACTTTCTTAGGCACAAGGCAACTACCCAGGTTTTGACTCATACAATAATATTGTAACTTGTTTCTTCCCCCGAATTTGCCAGTTATTTAAGAGAAGAATGGAAATCATTTTTTTTATTTTCTCTTTTTAATAACGATTATGACTTTCCAAGGCTGTTAAAATAGCAGACGATCCACTAAAAAAATACTTTCTATGAGAGTGGCCATGCCTCGAGCAAGGAAGACTGCAGTTAGACAGAAAGAAGGACTTGATCTTCAATGTAATCATCTATACTGAGGTTACTCAGCAGCGATGTCAAGGTGTGACTTAGAAATATTTACTTTCACTTCCAAATTTAATGAGGGCAACTACATATTCTCCATCTTCATTAAAGGGAGCATGAAAGTATCTTCAGAAAGCCTGATTATTTATCTCTATCAAAAGCACTTTGATCCACCGACTTGTTCAAATTCCTGAATCATATTTACTTAGTGCTGATCTCATTCCAGGCACTGTTCTAGTTCCCAGGTCTGTATCAGTGAGGCCAGACAAACAGAGGTCCCTGACATCATGCAGTTTACATTCTGGTGGGTGGGGGAGGGATGGCAGAAAGTTAATAATACAGATAAGAAATAAGTACAGTACAATAGATGGTGGTGAGTGCTCAGGAAAACAAAGAGGCAAGATGAAGATCAGGGAATGAGGGAAACCAGGGTAAGGCAGGTGGCAATGACATCTACCTAAAAACCACACTTGCTCTGAAAAATGCAGGTTTAGCTTCAAGAAAGCCCCCTTGTACCTGCTCTTTCCAATCGTACTGTCTAAGCCTAAGATTTGTTTAATACAGATGGTCCGCCACTTGTGACGGGGTCACATCTGGATAAATCCATGATAAGGTGAAAATATCCTATGTCAAAAACATACTTTCTGCTTATGACATTTACAACTTACAATGGGTTTATCCGGACAAAACCCCATTGTAAATTGAGGAGCATGTCTCTATGAATTCTGGAGTTCTCTTGGGTCAATCTACTAGGGGTAGCAGTGAGAAGTTTGCACTTCTAATGTAGACATTCAGCTGGCCTGTTGGCCTCCAGAATGTCTCAGATCCTGATGGTCCCCCTGAGCTGTATTTTGTAGTAGCTCCATTTCTCAGACATATTCTCTAGGCAAAAGCATGATCACTCCATGACACTGAGTCGGAGGGCCCAGCACTTTGGCAGCACTCAAATGAGTACAGCTCTCCCCTTTCAGAGTAAAGGGCTACGTCCCAGGCAGAGCCAAGTCCAACCATTCAGCAGCAATTGCTTTGCATGTAATGACAGGATCCAGGCTACAGATTAGAGCCTGCTTCTGCATAAAGGACCCTCAATCTCCTCTAGCTTTCTAGCCTGGGTGTGGGTTGTCAGTGAGCCCAGGACTAAAAATAAGCCACGCTTGCAAGGGCAGAAACACAAGTACAGGCAATACCCAGTTCACAATTAGCTCCCATTACAAATGCGCTTTTCAAAATTATAGTGGTGGTTTAGAAGAGTTTACAGCCATCTTTGGCCTCCAAGAGTGACATCAGTTAATAAATAAAGCCAAACAAATGAATAAAATGTCCACCAATCATATATAGATTTGACATCACTGTGGAAAAATGGGTAATCTCAAACACAGATGGTGGGAGATGATTTTGGTGCTCACTATCAAAATCTAAAATATGCTTATCTTTCAAGGTAACTATTCTAATTATAGATATCTGTCCTGCTAAAATATTTGAGACAGACACATGATACATGAACCAGGATATTCACTCTAGCATTGCTTGTAAAAGGAAATACAGTTGACCCTTGAATACACAGATGTGAATGGCACAGGACCACGTATGCACAGATTCTCTGCCACCACTGACACCCCAGAGACCCAGAGACAGCAAGACCAACCCCTCCTTTTCCTCGTCCTCCTTCTTCTCAGCCTACCTCATGTAAAATGACAAAGATGAGGACATTTATGATGATCTGCTTCTACTTAATCAATAGTAACTATGTTTTCTTTTCCTTATGATTTTCTTAATATTTTCTTTAGCTTATGTTATTGTAGAAATACATATATAATGCATATAACACAAAAATATGTGTTAATCCACTGTTTATGTTATTGATAAGGCCTTGAGTCAATAGTGGGCTAATCATAGTTTTGGAGAAATCAAAAGTCATACACAAATTTTGGCCCGGGCATTTTGGCTCATGTCTGTAATCCCAGCACTTTGGGAAGCTGAGGCAGGTGGATCACTTAAGGCCAGGAGCTCAAGAGCAGACTGGCCAAGATGGTGAAACCACAAAACTTAGCCAGGCATTGTGGCATGTACCTATAGTTCCAGCTACGTGGGAGGCTGAGGCATGAGAATCACTTGAACCTGGGAGGCAGAAGTTGCAGTAGGCTGAGATCATGCCACTGCATACCAGCCTAGGCAACAGAGTGAGAGCGTATCTCAAAAAAAAAAAAAAGTTTTACACAAATTTTCTACTTTGTTGGGGTTTGGCGCCTCTAACCCTCATGTTGCTGAAGTGTCAACTGTAATAAAAACCAATAGGAGACAATTAAAACAACGTATACCATATTCATACAGTG